GATTTGTGATAGTTTATTTTTCTTGGAAAGTTCAAAATTTTAAACCTATACTGGAAAATTCTGTGTCCCACAAGCTTTGCAGACAATCTTTTCCTTTACCGTAGAGACTTCTACAGTAAAGGAGAAGCAGAGCCTTTAACAATTATCATATAATCATAGAATGGTTTGGGTTGGAAGGGACCTTAAAGACCATCTAGTTCCAACCCCCCTGCCATGGGCAGGGACACCTTCCACTAGATCAGGACACAATAATGCGTATTGTAGAACATGATGGAGTTTCCTAGATGCTCAGTGCAGCTGCTCAAAGTGCCAAGGCCTTGCATTTAATTAATTAGCCGGGTAGGTGTTAATGCAGAAATGGAAGAAATTGTTGTTGGGGTCACGGTGACGTGGGTTGCAGCAGGGATTTGCTGTAGTGTTTTGTGCTATTCAGAATTTCCCAAATGTTGAAAGTTTCATGTCCAGGTGTATTGTATCACTCTAATCCAGTCTAGAAGCAATGCACCCAGGCGTAAATGACAGATGCCAGGTCGTGATACAGTGTGATGAGGTAGTCTTCCAGCCAGATGGAGGTGACAGAAGGCATTACTTTTGGATGCTGCTAGGCAAGAGTTTCACTGAAGAATCCTAAAACCCCTGACTGAACAGGCAATGTAAGTCATCAGTGGTATCTTTCAACCACTGAGACCCTGTTGTGTCTGCAAAACAATTCTCCTTGCTTTCACTCCAGAGGCAAACAGGCGTATCAGCAAAGAATCTGCCTTCTCTCTACAATAAGAGGTCCTCCAGTTGTGCTGGTGAAATACTTCAATTTTCTGTGTTCTGGTTGAACACTACCACCTGTCAGATGTCCTTGTCATTGACTCCTCCATGACCTTTCACGGAAGAGCAGGAAGTAACAGTTGTTTAAAGATGATGTAACTGGGATACCCATAGCACCGTATGATTATCTTCTTTTTTTTTCCCCAGAAATGTTAATGAATTAGGTAATATTTCTAGCCTATAATTTTCCCTTGGAAAAGGTACTTAGAAGCACATGTTACTAACTGTACAGCAGTGTGTACCAGGTACAGTGACTGCTATTACTTCCTCTGATACTTCTGGGAGACTAATAAACCTCCCAGAGATGCCATTCTGATTTTTGTGGAAGTACAGAAGCCAGGGCTACTGGCTGTTTTCTCCTTCCTCTGCTTAAGGCACACAAGATTCATCTCTGCCTGCAGAGATCACAAAAGTGATGCTTTCAGTCCTCCTCAGCTTTTTTGGCAGGTGACAAGAAAAAGCCTAGTTGATTAAATATAAACCTCAGATTATAAAAAACCCCAAACAGAACAGAAATCCAGACCAATCACAGTAGGAGTACAGAGCAAACTACTGAACAAATCAGCACAGACACATCTGCAGAGGATACTCCAGGTTCAGTGATGGGAGGCGACTCCCAGATCTCAACAGACCTTTCTTTGTACAGTGAAAGTCAGTGTCTGTGCTGCCTCCTCATGTTCAACCAGTTTCATTTTTCTTGCCCCATTGGCTCAAATCTTCAGCTTTATGCAAAATACAGCTATTACTAACCAAATACTCTGTGTTTTGTGTTCAGCAGCCCATATTATTATGCATATTAGAATCAGCAAGACACTTGTCAAAAAATTGTGCACATCATGATTATTAAGCAAAGCTGGATCTGAACACTGGATTTCTTGTGTAATGTTCATGCTATTCCCAGCTGACAGGCAGAGAAAAGACAAGTGACAACACCTTCAGTGCTAGAGCACGTCTTCAGGCAGAGAACCGGGCTAAAATTAAACTGTGGGCTGAAATGCCTTAAGGGCAGACTTTTATGACCTTGCAGCTCAGAAATAACTCCATGTCCTGGCTCCACGGGGTATCTTGCTATGAGGGGAGAAGTGCAGGCCCATTGCAGGTACCCTTGAAAGACTAGGGCTCAGAAACACTGAACTACTGGGGATGTAAGCTCAGGAAAGAAAAGCATTATTCCCCTTCAGTTGTAGAAATCAGCCTGTTTGTACTAGGAAACAAAGCAGGGAAAGCCCATGAAAGGATATAACTAGCTAAGGGCAGAGCCAGGACCAAGCCTGATCCTGGAGCTTCCACTGAAGAGTTTATCGTGATGAAAACAGCTGCTACAAAAAGGTTTATTGGGAACTGTATTTCACACAGGGTTGCTTATTGTTTAGGAGTAATGCGCATGAGATATTATGGGCTTCCCAAACACTTCCCAACAAATCCTGATCAAAGGACTTAGCAATTTTTATCTCTGTCATTAGTCACACAACATTCAACGCCAATGGATATTTATAATGTGGAGTTTCATTCATCTGCTACCAGGATCAGGGTAAAATATTCAGTAAATACTCTGTCATTAATAAGTTTCCTCTCTTCTTCAATCCTGAAGACCTACAGACAAACTCTGCCACTGATCTGAGCCAAGTTATGGGGGGAAAAAGACCTAGTTAAGACATTTTGGGATCAGAACCAGGTTCAGTCCTTGGATCGTAGTGGCAAAACCACCAAGGTTTTATATCCTGTGAGTAAGCTTCTGGGATCAATTTTCAAACACTACAGAAACTTTAGCAGAGGAGCAGCCGATCTGTTTCGATAGACTTTTAAAGAAAGACCACTTCCTTCCTGACAGAAGAGCTGTGTCACCTTTTTAAGACATCAACTGGGGTCCATTTCTCTGTGATAAGAGTAAAATCCTGACACTGACTTGCTTTACAACCTTCTTTGCGTGGGATATTCAGGTCCTAAACAAGGGGACCAAAATCCAGCCTAGTTCAGCCTGCCACTGATATCGCACAATTGACATATTAAATGTTTTAACAAACCATGGCATGTGAATGAAAGAAATAGTAGTGATCCTGAAGCCCTTTAAGCATCAGCTTCATTTTAATGTTCATGAGACAGGGAGAAGGAAAGGTTGAATGCATACTCAAAGGCCTCTGGGAAAATCAGCAGCAAAGACAAGAGTATGTCTCATGCCTCCACATCATACAGTGCCTCCAAAGCAATGAGAATTTAGTTTGCTTGCACTAGGATTGTT